ACAGGCTGTGATGCAGCGCTCAGTGGCCGAACCCGAGCTAAGTGCTGGGCACGGGGCTGCCGCACAGTGTTTACCCTCCTCACAGCTCGGAGATGCTCACAGCTGGTAAGCCGGTGAGGGATAAGATAGTAATAACAACAATAATAATAATAATAATATAATAGTAAAGCAGCGAGCGCTTATTGGAGCAGGCGGAGCATCAGGGCCAAGGGTAAGATGTTTGCTATCCTGTTGGATTCTCACACCAACCGGGAGTGAGGTGCGTTCAGGTCCCGCTTCACAGATGAGGAGACCTTGTGGCGACATGGAGAGGCCCGAGGTGACGCTGGGGCGCGCCCTGGGCAGGCTGTTCCCAAGCCTGCACTCTCCACCGTGAGCGAGCCGGGTCCTGTTTTGGGCACCAGGGCAGCTCAAGCAACAGCAGCTGCAGACGCTGCTCCGGATGAAATGCAGGATGAAATGCAGGTGTTGCCTCTTCCAGGAAGGCTTCCTGGTTCCCACCCTCCTGCCTTCTGCCCCCGCCATGGCCCCTGCCCCTGTTCTCCCCGGAGGATGTAACTTGTGGACACCTGAGTTCTCCAGTGACCCCCAGTCCCTTTGTGCCTTGGCTGCTGGGAGGCTCAGGGGCACATTTCAGGCTTCCCAGCTCACCTTCCTCTGGTCGCATCTCAATGCCTCAGCCCCACTTGCTCCTTCCCCCCATTCCCTCCTCTTTTCCTTTTATCCTACCAGGTAGCGCGCACGCATTGCAGGAACCACCCCAAATCCTTCCACAGGGAGTGAGACAAAGCACAAAATAAGTAAATAGAAATGATAAAACTCTACCCACGGCTACGAACCCAATTGCATCGCTAATAGGAGCCATACATTTCCCTGAGAGACACTGAGACAGTGTGCCTGCCCCTCCCCGAATGACGTCTCCCTGCCCTCCTAGCCCCTCCTGCTGAGCTTTCTCTTAAGTAACCTCAGGAACCCATCAGGAAACAGGAAATGAGGTGCTCGTTCACCTGCCGCCTCCCAGCTCATTGCAGAGCCAGGAGATGCGAGGCAGCCAGGCCTCACTCCACGCCCGGCCTCTTCAGCTCACATTCAAGGCCCTAAGTGGTCTCAGGTGTGTGGGTCCCTTTCCGATGGCGGCTGTAAAGAACTGCCATCCACTTAGTGGCTTAACACAGCCCCGATGTATCATCCGGAGGCTCCGCAGGGCAGACCTGCAGGGCGGGGCTCCCTGAGCTCACAGCGAGGTGGGGGCAGTGGGGTGTGTTCCTGTCCGAGGCTCCAGGGGAGGGTCCCTCTCCGGCCTTGTCCAGCTTCTAGAAAAGGCCTCGTTCCATGGTTCACGTGGCCCCTCCTTCATCTTCCAAGAGCAACCCTGGCCCTGTCCTCACACCCGCGTCCTCCGACCTTGACCCTCTTACAGGGATCGCAGTGACCAGGGCGGGTTCACCTGGACGGTGCGGGTGACCTCCCCTCCAGGCCCGAGTCACACCGGCAGAGCTGCTTTGCCGTGTGGGGAGCACGCTCACCGGTTCTGGAGATTCAGGGGACATGATTCCACGACAGCCTGTGCTCCCCCCAAGCAGACCCCAAGGGAGGGCCTCGGGGACACAGGCAGCAGGTCCTCCCGCGGTGTCATTTCCTGCCGCGTCATTGGTGGGTGAGAGGCAGCCAGCGTGGGAAGACGGTTCCTTATGCAGAACCTGCAGCCGACCCTGGGAGGACGCACCTCCGTTGGTTTGGGGGCGACTGGAAACAGTGGGGGGATGTCCCACACGTAACAAGTATCTGTGGTCAACCTGGAGGACTCGGCGTCACGTCATAGGTCCCTTTCCAGGTCACATGTCCCTCCGGCAACGGGTCTCACTTCATCCCACAGCATCTACCCAGGCCAGGCCTCATGCTCACAGCGCTGCCCCAGAGCGAGGCCGCACAGGGGGCGGAGCCCACACACGAACACTTTAAAAAGGTCCCAAGTGTCGAAACAAGCCTCTCTGAAAAGCCAGGCCTCGTGAATGCCACCTCCCTTCCCAGACACCCAGGTTTAAAAATTTGTAACATTCGTATAAAAGTGATTGTTTTGCAAATTTCAGAAAGAATTGAAAATCACCCACACATGCGCACACACACACACAATCATAATTCTACAAGCCCAAGATGATGACTGTAAGAAATTCCCATCATATCTGTGCAATTTCTTGCCTACGAAGATAGAGAGGACACACAGTTTTTAAAAAATAAAATTTTGATCATATCACACAGGTCTCTTTCACTTAATAATTTGGAAAATGTTTGCATGTTATTGACCAGGCTAGGTACATATATATTTTTAAATATATTTTTATTGACTGCAGAGAGAGGAAGGGAGAGGGAGGGAGGGAGAGAGAAACATCAATGATGAGAGAATCATTGATCGGCTGCCTCCTGCACGCCCCCCACTGGGGATGGAGCCCGCAACCTGGGCATGTGCCCTGACCGGGAATCGAACCCTGACCTCCTGGTTCCTGGGTTGAGGCTCAATCACTGAGCCACGCCGGCCGGGCTAAGCTGTTCCATTTCTGTTGGAGAAAGTAACTGAGTGTGTAAACAAAGCTGAGCTGGGCTGGCTTGTTCGTCTCCAGAAGCCTCATTTCTGACGGAACCAGTTAACCTGCCGCCGTCGCCGGTGCTGGTAAGAGGCACCAGCCAGGGGCACCGCCCATGCGACTAGATGAGCGAGAAATGGCCGCCATCTTCCCGACGCGTCACAGACCCGCTCGGCGCCGGGGCCCAGCCTTCCTTCGGCTTCGCAACTCGGCCCATGTCTCCTAACAAGAGAAAACACCTTTTTAGTCAAAGAGAAGGAGAGGCCTCAAGAAATTTTAAAAAAATATATTAAATTTTCATGTTTCATAAGCTACAATTTTAAAGACAACTTATGCCAAAAGATTAAAGAATAACTTTATGAAATAGTTGTCAGGGTTAAGTCGTGCCCTCAGTGACTAACCAAAGAATGTATTACAAACAACTAGTTATGAGGTTTTACATTGGTTTAAGAGGGGAATAACTGGCCCCAATTACACTGGCTGAGCTGCGGCTTTTTAGATGACTAAGACGAATTAAACTTTTTAAACTGAGCATTTAGGTGAGCTGGAGACCCGTCTGGGGTTTCTAGGGCAACTCCCTCCGTCGTACGCTCCCTGGTTTTAGTCGTTCTATTAAAGATAACTTAAGTGAGATTAAGACCTTATTTGGTTTATTTACCTTTGGCAATGAAGACCGTTTAAGGGCCACACACATCCTTGGCCTTGGCGAGGGCGGCCCCATTTAGTCAATGTCTTTAAAAGCGTGGGCTTTATGGCTTCCGGCACGGGGCGAGGAGCGCATTAAGGCACCAAAATTCTCATAAAAAAATCCAAAGTGGCGCTAGTGAGAAAACGCTCGACAAGATGAGAACGGATCACATCCTTCCCCCGAAACTCAGGCGTTCGTCTAAAACCAGCGTTTAAGCGAGCTTTGGTCCGGACACCCCCTGGACCCTTAGACAGCGTTTAGGTCTACGGAGAGTGGCTCTAGGATGGCCCGTTTAGTTTTATGCCGTTTTTAAAGGAAGTCGTACGATGTTTAGCGTGACCCTTTTATGAGGAGCGTCGTTAAGCGAGTGCTCTCCCTGTTTACAGCTATTTAGGAAGGACTTTTTAAGTACGAAAAGCATGAAACTGTTCGCTCACACACACAGGAAAATTTCTTTCAAAAGTTTATTTAGTATCAAGCAAGAGGAAAGTTTGCTTAACACTACAGAACATTTCAAGACTGGAGTTACAAAAAGAATACCACATTATTTGCACTTGTAATTGGCTTCCCTTTTTACGCGAGGGAAAAAAAACACTGGCATATGGCTGAAAGATAAAATAACTAAACTCTATGGAAACCTTTAAAATGAAAGGTGAGGCGTATGTTAAAGGATGGATTAACATGTTTAGTAAACCTATTTTTTTGTTTAACACTAGTTAATCAAAGTTGTGTGTGTTTTTTTCCTTTTGATGACCTATTTTTTTTTTTCATATACAGGTTGGAAATAACAAAATTCTACATGTCTTTTTTATTTTTTTTCTCTTTCTTCCCAGGTTGATGTTTCCACAAAGTAGTTTTAAGTTCCATCCATTCAGATTTTTAGGCATTTTGATTTATTTTAAAAAGGGGATTGTTCATAGAAAAAAATTACTTTGAACAGTTTACAGGACGGGTGGAGATGGGCTATTTCACAACATCAGAAAGTCAGTACAATCAGTAGCGGCCGTATGGCTGGTCTCGGTAGACGCCCTTCGCCGTCCGCGCCGAGGGAGCCTTGTGTCTCGAGTTAGTCCACTCCTCTTGCCCTGAAACCAGTACAGACGGATCAGAATTAGACCACCGGCCGGTCCCGCGGGCCTCGTTCTGCGGGGTCTAACTCGGCCCTGAACCTACCACGATGTCGTATTGCAGATACACAGCCTGACGCACCCAGAGAAACACCCACGGGAATTCACCGAGAAAAAAATGACAAACACAACGCGAGACGGTCATCTCGTCGCCGAAACCCGTCTGCGCGGGAAGAGATGCGATTTTTGTATCTTACGTGGCAACCGACTTCGCAGGACCCTTCCTCTGGGGAAAGGGTGGCTTAGGTTTTTTTCTAACAAAGAAAACACAGGAAAAAAATCTGTGAAGTTGGCTCGGCCGGCGCGGCTCAGTGGTTGAGTGTCCGCCTCTGAACCAGGAGGTCACGGTTCGATTCCCAGTCAGGGCACAGGCCCGGGTTGGGGGCTCGATCCCCAGTAGGGGGCGTGCAGGAGGCAGCCGATCAATGGTTCTCTCTCATCATTGATGCTTCTCTCTCTCTTCTTCTTCTCTCTGACATCAATAAAAACATATTTAAAAAAAAAAATTAAAAAAAGACTTGTGGCGGCAGAAGGAACAACGGGAGGGGAACGTGGGGAGGGCGGACGAGGGTGGAGAAATGCCGCACTGCCCTTTGCGGTCCTCTCAGAGGAGAGCCGAGTGAGAGCCGTGCTGACTGCAAGTCTCACCGCAGTCACACTTCGTGACCGTGAGGGAAGTCAGTGGCATAACGCCACCTTTAACGCATGTGACACTAATCCACATGGGACAGCGGCACTAATGACAAGGGCATCCATCGTCTTTCCGCCGCAGGACCTCTGAGACCCCAGGTCTTCGACAGCAAGCCGTGACCCCTGCACCCCAGCAATCCCATGTCCCCTGGCCCGGAGACCAACTTAAAAAGCTGCCAAGGAAAAGGCTTGACACAAACATGCATCAGCGTCACTCCCGCCGGCAAACTCGCATCCACCTAACTGCACGGCGTTCAACAGACCAACGTGCTTCTCTCGAGTGGCTGCTCCGAATCATAAAAATAAGTGAAAATCCCAGGTGCAGTCATCGCGGCTGGGGGCGGGCGATGGGAGGAAGGCACTTCAACAGGAAACGCCTGGAAACGGCCTTGCAGGGGCGTCCATAGACGTCAGCACATCCACAGCCGTGACTGCAGCCTCGGTCCTCCGAGCCCCGAGCCCGGCGACAAAGGAGCTCCCACCCATCATGACGCGGCCGCCTCCAATTCTTTCAATTAAACCGGTCGTCCTTCGTCCTTCGGCCTGCGGAGGCTGGGGCCTGGGTTCCCCCGGAGCCGGCGAGAGTGCCCACCTCCGCCCTGGCTCGGGGTCCTGTCACCCCTACAGAGTGGCTCCTCTGTGAGGTGCTCAGAGGCCTGGGGCTTGGGGGTGAATTGAACTATCAGGATGGGTGGGAGGGTCACTCCAGGGCTGTCCTCCCAAATGGTCTCATGTCCCTTTCCCGTCAAGAACAGAGACATTCCCAGAAGCCCATCTGAACAGGGGCCGGGCGGCCAGCTGGGCCATGAGGGAGGAAACCAACCCAGGGCATCACCCAGACAGAACACGCACCCCCCCCTCCCCCCAGCCCCAGTGCGAATCTGCCTTCCCGCCATCCTCTGCGAGGCTCCCTCCTCGCTGGATTTTACATCTCCCAGGATGTGAACACAGACAGGCAGGGGCGGGCGGCTGCGCACCGTCCTCCTGTCTGAATTCCCCTCAGGCCTCTGTCCACGGTTCCCGCGGCCTCGCACTCACCGTAGGAATCGTACCTCTCGTCGCTGAGCCCGTGGCCGTAGTCGTAGTAATCAGCGCCGCTGCAGGGAGGAGACAGAACAGGGGAGAGGTGAGCGCCGGAGGGACCCCGAAATCACCGGAAATCACCCCCGGGAAGCAGTCCACGCGTAGAGACAGCCTAAAGGACGGGCTGGCCGACAGAGAGCCCCTAACACGCAGGCCTCGGGCTTCAGGGTGACCAAGGCCCCCGACCTGAATACAGAACAAATGTGCCGACACCTTCGCCACAGCAGGAAGGCCTCGTGCAGACGGAAGCAAGGACTTCCCTTCCTCCGTGCGCCTCGCCCGGCCACCAGCAGACTCAGCTGTGTGAGCTCAGGGACGTCCTCTATCCCCCGGCACCACAACTGGCCAGTTCCTCTGAGAAACTCAGCACTCTGCCCGGCCGGCGTGGCTCAGTGGTTGTGGGTTGACCCAGGAACCAAGAGGTCGCCGGTTTGATTCCCGGTCGGTCCAGGCCGCAGGCTTGGTCCCCAATGTGGGGCGTGCAGGAGGCAGCCGATGGATGATTCTCTCTCATCACTGACGTTTCTATCCTCTCTCCCTCTCCCTTCCTCTCTAAAAATCAATTTTAAAAAAAGCATTAAAAAACAAAGAAACTCAGCACCAAATTAAGAGAACCTGAGCCCCCTTTTCAAAGGCCAGAAGCCACGTCCTGATGGCCCGAGACAGACACAACCCTGGCTTCCTGGGAATTTATCTTCGCTGCACAAATAAGATGAGAGCAGCCTCTTCATCAAACTCAAAATGACGCCCTTCCCTGAGACAGGCCGCGCTGCTCGCCTGGGGCTGTGAGCGGCGCTTTCTCAGTCTCCTTCACACAAGGAGCCAGTGGTAAGGGCACCGGCACGGGTGGGAACGGCTCCCGCACAGCTCAGCCTACAACAGCGGGTGCGGACTGCTCCCCCGTGAGCGGGAGGGTAGGGGGCGTCTTGTGGCCCAGCCGCGGTTTGCTGATAAGACAACCTCCGTCCTGACAAAGGGAAAACTCTAAACTGACGTTTCCATCACTTCACCGGCTTCTCATTACTCGCTGCGGGACTGTCATCACGCCACGCGCTGGGAGCAGCTGCGCCCCTCACGCCTGTCAGCCCCTCGGGGACCTCAGGGCCTGGTAACCAAGGACGTGTCCTATTTCCCAAGGGCACGCTGAAGACCCAGCCGTGGCAAAGGGGAAACACCACCATCTCCTCATGCAGGTTCGCAGCTTTTAATACTGACACTGGGCAAGAAAAAGCAGCAGGCCGCATGCAGCCCACTCCATCGCAAGGTCGAGGGCGCCCCTCCCTCCATAGGTCAAGAGTGGGCTCTTGCCATGCGAGGCCGCGTCTCCTGTCCTTCTCCGCGCCCCCCCCCCCCCTGTCCGGGGTCCGGAAGTCTACACGTTCAGCATAATTCCTGGCTCTCCCAGGGGTCCTGGGTCCCCCATCAGAGTCGGGAAATACACGTTCAGCATAATTCCTGGCTCTCCCAGGGGTCCCGGGTCCCCCATCAGAGTCAAGAAATACGCCCAGAACTGGGAGGAAACCAGGGCTACAAAGCAAATGGTGTCCCCGGGACTGTCTACGTCTCCCTGGGCCTCCTCCCGCTCTCCACAGGGTTCAAAACGAGGCCTAGGCCCCGTGTACCCGATCGCCAGTCTCTGTGAACGGGGCCAGGAAGGACTCCTGGTTTGTATCCATGCGTCTCCCCGTCCCCCCAACAACCTCTTTGAGCCTCTGCAGTTTCTACTTCACAGTCCCTGGCGCTGATCTCCGAAGGCTCCAGAAAGGCTGAGGGTCAC